GATGATGATGATGATGATGATGATGATGATGATGATGATGATGATGATGATGATGATGATGATGATGATGATGATGACAAGGTGTAAATAGATGAATAATATATCAACAAATGATAAATAAATACATAATTAATATTTTGATAAAATTATAAAAAATTATTTAAAAAGAATTAATTAATTGAAAAATTAATTTCATCTCATTGATAATAATGTAATCCTCAAAAAATTAATTTCCTCAAAAAAAAAAAAATATGAATTTAAAAATTTCTTTTTTGTGCATAAAATCTAAATGGCTTTATATAAGATTTAAATTTGTTAACTTCCACAACAAATGCCTCCATTAATGCATCATAATGTTCATTACTAATCCCCATTTCACTCTGTATTCTGTTCCTAATTGCTCTCAATTCAAACAAAACACACATAAAACATCTTAGGTTTTCTTTTTTCATTGGATGTATGTAGTATGTCTATCTGTCTAAAATATTTTACTATAAATAATATTGACTCATGAATATTAATTAATTTACCAACATAAGCCAAAACTGCGCTCTAAAGCATTCAATGTCTTCCAACATTATTCTTTGTATTTTTTATATACAAGCCTTTTTAAAAATATAACAAATATTATTGCCATCACCCTCTAATAAACATTTATTGTCTATCCAGCGAAAGATTACGGGAGCATCAGAATTTGATAATATTGCAATAGAAACAATTGTATTTCAACCACTGTTTGTTGAACAATCGAAAACAGGATGTAGCTATTACTATTACTATTACTATGCTGACATAGTTTCGATATATCATAATCATCATTTGTCACATTAGAAAGCCCTTTATGTTTTTTATGTACTGACAAAATGTAATATGTATATAAAAACTGGGTTCTTAGTGTGACTATTTGTTTGTCCATTCAAAATATCTAGTAACTTATAAATAATAAACTCCTGAAAAATTAATTAGGCTGATTCAAGATTCCAGCAGATCTTGGTACAATATGGAAATATTGTGTGCTATTACAAATTACATAAACAATCATCGTTAAAGTTCTTGTGCTGTCGGAATTTCGTAAATAAATAGTAAATATAAATAAAATAAATGGAATAAATAAATGATTGTCATTTTGATTGAATAAATTGGATTGTTATATTTCCGCTAATAACAAATCTATATATTTTTCTTTCTATTTTTTATCAATCAATCTTTATAAAAAATCTTATTTCTTTCTCTCACTCACTCACTCTTTCAAATTCGTATATTATATAACGTTCTTTGAGCATATTAAATTTAAAAAAAAATTTTTAATTTTCTCAAAAAGTAGTCATTACCTAATTTAGTTAATTCAATTACATTGATATTTTATTTATTATTTATTCTTTTAATGGCTCTGATCTAATTTCCATCTGTTTATTATTATTATTTAAATGTATATACTACGCGTTTCATTTAATGTGGTGGATGGACTATATAAATAAATAGATATTTTCGATAAAAAACTATATAAATATCGGAAAAAAAAATTTTTTTTTTATACTTTTTTTTAAATTAATGAATCTTTTTTTTGGTTTTTTTTTTTTAAATTATTTTTTTTTTTTTAAAAAAAAATTTTCATTTGTAAAATTGTAAAATTTGACAAAAAAAAACTCCCAAAAAAATGGGAACTTGCTCATCAAAATCACTATTAAAATGTGATCCATTTTCTAATGAAATAAAACAACAACAAGAAATCTATATATATCAACAACCAAATCAACATCAAAAACATCATCACCATCAACATAGTGATAGTTATAGGTATATTGATGGTAGAAGATTTCATATGGATGAAAATGTTAAATACTTGTATCCAAATGATGAAGAAGAAATTGAAAGATTAGAAAATCAATATTATTTACTTAAAGAAAAATGGAATGCGACATTCTTGTCACCTGTAGCACCTAAGTTGCTTGCTGGTGGCAAAGTATTGGATATTGGGTAAATAGATAGATAGATTAATTATCAATATTGATTTTTTATCATGATTAATAAACCACTAAAAACCGATCTTTTCTTTCCATCTATCTACACCACCCACATCTTTCTTCCTTCACAGATGCGGGACAGGAACCTGGATCCTAGATTTAGCAACGGAATATAAAACAACCACATTCATTGGACTTGATATATCACAAATATTTCCACAA